GGATGTGGGGCCCCATACATTCATCTGGGACCACTGAAGGGCTACATTCTAGAAGTGAGGGCTTACCAGAAATAGACCAGCCCTTGCAAAGACTGAAGGCTAGCTTCCATTCAGCTCAATGTAGATTAAGGTCAAAGTAGAGAAAAACAATATCCTCTCATTAAAAATGTTTGGCAGTTGGACCCTTGCTGGACGCCCAGTCTCTGTGAAATGTGATATGTACTGTATTTTGTATTGTTTAAATTGGATCTGTAATTGAAAGTGGTCCAGGAGAAGGCAGCTTCCTGTATGCAGTGAGCTTTTTTTTTTTTCCAAACAAGTTACAACTCCATTTAAGAAACAATTATTTCTACTTTGAAGTCATATCAATGAGAAGATGTATATGCACTTACAGTTTTCCTAATAAAGACATTTATTCAATGTAAAAAAAAATGTGGGTTTTTTTTCCCCCAGAAATTAGCAGACATACCAAGAAATAAGACTGATTTAGCAAAAGACTAAGAAAACAAATCAATAAGAACAGAGCCAGATATTGATGTTATCAAACTAAAACTAATTATGGTTAATATGTTCAAGAAAATAGAAGGTGGAGAATTTCAACAGAGAACTGCAATCTATTTTAAAAAGAATCAAATGAAAATTCTAGAACCAAAACTTTAAATAACTGTAATTAGAAACTCAACTGGTGAGTTTATAGTAGACCAGCTGAAGAGAGGAATAGTGAACTAATTATATGGATAGTAGAAAATATCTAGAATGAAGTGCCCAGCTGGCTCAGTTGGAAGAGCGTGCAACTCTCGATCTCAGGGTTGTGAGTTCAAGCCTCACACTGAGTGTAGAGATTACTTAAATAAATAAAACTTAAAAAGGAAAGAAAAAGAAAATAATCCAGAATGAAACCCAGAGAGAGAAAAGGAAGAGGAAGTACAGAAAAAGCATAATAAATAAATAGAATATGACCAATAAGGTCTAATATAAGTAGAATTGAAATGCAGAGGAAGAAAAAAGAAGAATTAGCTGCTTTTTTCCTGGAACACCATTTTTACTTGAAAGAATGGGCAGACTATGGTCCTTTAGACTTGGGTATTTGGCAGACATTTTCTTGAAAATGAACAAAGTGAGCTTGTCACAAAGTATTTGTTGCCAATTATAAAATTTTAAATTTCAAACAGAAATTAGAATTTTGGAAAACTTGTATCTGCCATTATGAGTGGTTTTATTGACTGCTTCCCAATATTTAAAGACTGCCCTACGATCAAAGGTGGTATTAAAGAATGTAATTTTTTTGTTTTATTTTTCTATTATTTTTTATTGAGATATAATAGACATATCATTGTATTAGTTTTAGGTGTACAACTTAGTGATTTAGTAAATATATTACAAAATGATTACTACAATAAGTTTAGTTAACATCCATCATCACACAGTTACAATTTTTTTCCCTCATGATAAGAACTTTTAAAATTATTCTCTTAGCAACTTTCAAGTATATAATACAGCATTGTTAATTATAGTCACCATACTGTACATTATATACCCAGGACTTACTAATCTTATAAATGACATTTTGTACCTTTTGAGCACCTTCACCTACTTTGCCCACCTCCTCCCTGCCTCCATTAACCACAAATCAGTTTGTGTTTTTTTTAAGATTTCATATATAAGTGAGATCAGATTTTTTTTCCTATTATTTTGTATGAGTTCTTTATCTAGTTTGGATATTAACCCCTTACCAGATATATGATTTGCCAATATTTTCTTCCATTCTGTAGGTTGCCTTTTCATCTTGTTGATAGTTTACTTTACAATGCAGAAGGTTTTTAGTTTGATATAGTCCCACTTATTTTTGCTTTTGTTGCCTTTGCTTTTGGTGTCAAATCCAAAACAATCATTACCAAGGCCATGTCAAGGAGCTTATGCCCTATGTTACAGAATGTGATTTATAAAATTACTAGTCTATAATGTGGTGTGTCAACATTTGGAAGATCTGCACCAGTGTTTTCCAAATGACCAATGTGTAATGACCCAAATTCTTTCATGGGTAAGAAGGTCCATTCAAAGTGCAAGATAGACCAATAGATTTCAATGTAACAGAATATGAACAGTCTGTTAACATGGTTTCAGATTCCACTTGCTACTAACCTTTAAGAAACTACCACTTGTATTTTAGTATATAGTATCAAAGAAGAATATCCATAATTATCTTAAAAAGCTATTATAGGGGCGCCTGGGTGGCTCAGTCATTAAGCGGCTGCCTTTGGCTCAGGTCATGATCCCAGGGTCCTGGGATCGAGCCCCGCATCGGGCTCCCTGCTCAGCAGGAAGCCTGCTTCTCCCTCTCCCACTCCCCCTGCTTGTTTTCCCTCTCTCGCTGTGTCTCTCTCTGTCAAATAAATAAATAAAATCTTTATTTATTTTTTATTTTTTTAAAGATTTTATTTATTCATTTGAGACAGAGAGATACGGAGAGAGAGAAAGCATGAGCAGGGGGGAGACAGAGGGAGAGGGAGAAGCAGGCTCCCCGCTGAGCAGAAAGCCCGATGTGGGGCTCGATCCCAGGACCCTGGAATCATGACCCGAGCCAAAGGCAGATGCCTAACCATCTGAGCCACCCAGGCGCCCCAAATAAAATCTTTAAAAAAAAAAAAAAAGCTATTGTAATGCTACTGGCTTTTCCGACTATAAACCTGTGAAAGACTGTATATTCTTTATATTTTTTATTTAATTAATTTATTTTTTGCATTGCAATCACATGTTTACTTAATACTTTGGAGGTAGATTAAAATACATCATACCTTTCAAATGCTCAATATAAAAGCACTTCCTTATAAAAGTTACTAGAAGTGGTGCCTGGAGAGTTTCTTACCCATGTAGCTTAAAACCATATTCTTACACCCTAGTAAAGTAGAATTGGAAGTGTTTGGCTTAATATTCCTTCCCCCCCCACCCTCTCTTCTTATAGAATAGAATATATACTAGTGAGACCCTAAATTTTAACATTTTAAAAATTTAGGTCTTTATATATTTTAACTGAAACACTGTTATACAACATATTGAATAAAGTGTGTATGAAAATCTGGTTATCTTCTACTAAGCCAGTGTTAAAGAAAATTATAAAAATGTAATACAACACCCTTACTAAATTATTTTGTTTTAGATAATAGTTATTTTCATAAAAGATAAGTTATTGATGTAACTTTTTATAATAGGGCTCTTATTTTTAAATACATTAGTGCATATTTTTTAAATTTCTCAGTTTTAATTTGTGCTAAGGTAAATATTAATAGATATACATAAACAAAAGCCCTTTGACGGTCCTCAGTAATTTTTAAAAATGTAAGAGAGGGGCGCCTGGATGGTTCAGTAGGTTAAGGGTCTGCCTTTGGCTCAGGTCATGATCCCAGGGTCTTGGGATCAAGTCTCACATTGGGCTCCCTGCTCAGTGGGGAGTCTGCTTCTCCCTCTGCCCTTCACCCTGCTCTTGCTCACTCTCTCTCTCTCAAATAAATAAATAAAATCTTTTTTAAAAAAAAATGTAGGGGCACCTGGGTGGCTTAGTTGGTTAAGCATCTGCCTTCAGCTCAGGTCATGATCTCAGGGTCCTGGGATCGAGCCCCACATAGTGCTCCCTGCTGAGTGGGGAGCCTGCTTCTTCCTCTGCCTGCCATCCCCCCTGCTCGTGCTCTCTCTCTCTCAAATAAATAAAATCTTAAATATATATATATATAAAACGTAAAGGGCCCTGAGGCCCAAAAATTGAGAATCATTGCTACAGATACTAAAATGACAATTAAAATATACAAGAGTAAAAAAATAAATAAAATAAAATATACAAGAGTATTATGAACAATTTTGTGCCACTAAATATAAGAATATTAAGTTCTTTGAAAAACAAATATTACCAAAATGAAAATCTGACTAGGCCTAAATCAGTTAAAGAAATTGAACCCCTTATTTAAAACCTTCCCATAAAGAACGCTTTAAATCCAGATGGCTTCATTGGTGCACTTTACTAATTAAGAAGGAAACAAACTTAATCTTGTACAAATTCTTATAGAAAATAGACAAAGAGAAAACACTTCCCAACTTGTATGATCTTAATTCTAGACCTCACCAGGTTATTATAAGAAGGGAAAATTATAGGCCATTTTCTCAAATAAACGTGGATGGAGAAATCCTAAACTAAATAATACTGAATCTATATAAAAGTAAGTCTATACAGGGGTGCCTGGCTGGCTCAGTCAGTAGAGCATGCAACTCTTGATCTCAGGGTTGTGAGTTCAAACCTCATGTTGGGTATAGAGCTTACTTAAAAATAATAATAAAATAATATTTCTTTAAAAAAAGTTGATATATCATAGCCAAGTCGAGCTTATCCTAAGAATCCAGTGTTATTTTATCATTCAGATATTATTCAATGTGATTCACCATATTAACAGAAAAAAGAAGGACAATGATAATATGGGGAAGAAAAGCATGTGATAAGTTCGACACACACTAATGATTAAAAAAACAGAACCAATAACAACAAAATCCTAGCCTACTTCCTACTGGAATGGAAAGGAATTGATTGAACCTGAGAAGCAGCGTCTACAGAAATCTTGCAGTAGACATCACAGTGATAAAATGCTGAATGCTTTGTCTCTGAAGGCAGGAACAAAGCATGAAAACTTGCTATCATCACTCCTTTTCAACATGTCCTAGAGGCTCTAGCCAGAGCATTAAAGCAAGAAAAGAAAGAAATAAAAATTTTAAGGATGTGGAAAGAAGAAATGAAAGTCTCATTTTACAGATGACATGATTCTGTATGAACAGTAATAAATTCATAAGTAATGTCTTGGATTATGCAATTTTCACTGATAGCATTTCTATCATTTTGATTCTGCCTAAGTTCATTCTTAGAGTGTAGAAATCACTGCAGTGTGTGGAAGTACCTTGTCATTCCTCAAGTACATGCAGCAAAGGTCTCTTACTTCTGGTATTACTTTTTTTCTCTACAGGTCGTATCTGACTCCTGTACGGGATGAGGAAGCAGAGTCTTTACGGAAAGCACGCTCCAGACAAGCTCGGCAGACTCGAAGGTCTACTCAAGTGAGTGTGACCTTCTTTTTTATGTCATTTTGTCTATCTTCCTTTCTGTTGGAGGTACAACTAAAAAATCGTTAAGATCAGTTCCTTACTCCAGCCACTGTTGTAAAAGTTTTCACCTGTGTTGAATCTTATACTACATAGTATCAGATGAATTTATAGCTATATCTGCCCACTCTCACTTTTATTTCTCCAGGCTCAGAGCAGGTTTATCTCCTTTCCTTCACAAGACTAATCATTCCATTTGTGTTTAAGAGGCCACATCTTAAGAATCCCTAAAGGAGAAGAGTTTGGCAGTTCCCCAAAATGTTATATATACAGTTACCATATGACCTAGCAATTCTACTCTTAGGTATATAGTCAAGAGGAATGAAAACATATGTCCACACAAAAACTTGTACATAGATGTTTATAACAGCATTATCTACAATAGCCCACATCCCAAATTCAGTGTCATTTCTGAACTCTGGCCAGAGTTTACTTGCTATATAGACCATATTTATGTGTGGAGTTGGCAAGCTTGCTGTGGAGTTGAGTCCTGGGCTCCCGGCAGCAGCAAGGTTTAGCATTGTGTGGCTGGGCGTGCCTCAGCTATCCTCTGCAGCTATAGGAGTCGTGGGCACAGGCTGAGCCATCAAGCAGACCAAATAAATTAAGCAGTTAGCATAACTGGGGAAAAAGAAAACAAATATCCATTAACAAAGGAATGGATAAATAAATATTATATAGCCATACAATAGAATATTATTTGGCAATAAAGAGATACATGTTAATGCTACAATGTGCAGGAAACTTAAGAAAACATTATGTTAAGTGAAAGAAACCAGACATGATTCCATTTATATGAAAATATCCAGAATAGGCAAAGCCAGAGAAATAGAAAATAGATTAGTGGAGCACCTGGTAGCTCAGTCAGTTGTGTCGAACTCTTGATTTCGGCTCAGGTCATGATCTCAGGGTCGTGCGTCAGGCTCTGTGCTGGGCATGGAGCCTGCTTAAGATTCTCTCCCTCTCCCACTGGTCCTCCCCCACCTCACTCTCGCTCTCTGTCTCTCTAAAAAAAAAAAAGAAGGAAAGAGAGAGAGAGAGAAAGAAAGAAAGAAAAGAAAGAAAGAAAGAAAGAAAGAAAGAAAATAGATTGGTGGTTGCCAGGGGTGGGAGAGAGGAAGGAATGGGAGTGACTGCTGATGGATATTGAGTTTCTTTTTGGGGTGATGAAATGTTCTGAAATGAGATGGTGATGATGGTTGCAGAACTCTGTGAATATGCTAAAACCACTGAATTGTATACAGGCATACCTCATTTTATTAAGTAGGCTCCCTGCCCAGTGTAGAGCCCAACATGGGGCTTGAACTCACAACCCTGAAATCAAGCCTGAGCTGAGATCAAGAGTCGGAGACTATGGAGTGCCTGGGTGACTCAGTCGCACTCTTGCTCTCTCTCCCTCTAAAAAAAAAAAAAAAAAGAGTCAGACGCTTAACCAACTGAGCCACCCAGGCACCCCAATCTGTATAATATTGCAAAAATCACTGTGCAGAGAATTGATGGGAGTGGTCGGCAAAAATATGTTTATAAAAGCGGGAAACAAGAAGATGTGTTAGGAAGCTGTCACAGCAGTCCAAGCTGGAAGTAACAAGACCATGAACTCAGTCAGGATGTACTGGCAAGGAGAAGGGAGAGAAAGCTGTGACTTGGCATTAAGGAGGCAGAGGACGATGAGCTGATGAAGCACAATGAAAAGGAGCAGCCAGAGAGATGAAAGGTAAACCAGGAAATAGGAGCGGCATAGAAGTAAATGAAAAGTCAGTTGAAGGTAACAGTTGTAAATTCTACAGAGGTCAGGCAGGAAAGCTGAGGACTGAAGAAAGGGCCTTTATTTTTTTTTTTTTAAGATTTTATTTATGGGGCGCCTGGGTGGCTCAGTTGTTAAGCGTCTGCCTTCGGCTCAGGTCGTGATCCCGGGGTCCTGGGATCGAGCCCCACATCAGGCTCCCTGCTCCGTGGGGAGCCTGCTTCTCCCTCTCCCTCTGCCTGCCACTCCCCCTGTTTGTACTCTCTCTCTCACTGTCAAATAAATAAATAAATAAATCTTGAAAGAAAGAAAGAAAGAGCGAGTGAGAGAGAGAGAGGGAGGGAGGAGGGAGGGAGGAGGGAAGGAGAGAGGAAGGAAGGAAGGAAGGAAGGAAGAAAAGGGCTGTGCTTTCTCTTTGTAAAAAAAAAAAAAAGACCAAGACTTACCTATAGTTTTTTTTGTTTTAGTTTGGTTTATTGTGGTAAAAAATACATAACATGCAGTTTATCACTTTAACCATTTTTTTAAGTGTCATTAAGTTCATTCACATTATTTTGTAACTATTACCACCATCCATCTCCAGAACATTTTTGATCTTCCCAAACTGAAACTCTGTATATATTCAACAATAATTCCCTCTCCCCCCTCCTCTAGCTTCTGACAACCACCATTCTACTTCTTGTCTCTGTGAATTTGATCACTCTAAGTACTTCACACAAGTGGAATCATACATTATTTGTCCTTTTGGTGCCTGGCTTATTTCACTTAGCATAATGTACTTCAAGGTTCATCTGCATTATAGCCTGCGTCCGTACTTCATTCTTTTTTAGGGATGAATGATATTACACTATATGGTTAGATCGCATTTTATTTATTCATTTACCTGCTAATAGACACTTTTTGTCTATTGTGAATAATACTGCTGTGAGCATGGGTATACAAATGATCTCTTTGAGACCCTGCTTTCAGTTCTTTTGGGTAAATACTCAGAAGTGGAATTTGCCGGATCATATGTTTCTGTCTTAATTATCTACATTCTATCATACTCAAGGTTTTCTTATGTCTTTTCCATTAGATTAAAAGGTTCTTGGGTGCCTGGGTGGCTCAGTCGGTTAAGCGACTGCCTTCGGCTCAGGTCATGATCCTGGAGTCCCGGGATCGAGTCCCGCATCGGGCTCCCTGCTCGGCGGGGAGTCTGCTTCTCCCTCTGCCCTCTTCCCTCTCGTGCTGTCTGTCTCTCATTCTCTCTCTCTCAAATAAATAAATAAAATCTTAAAAAAAAAAAAAATGTAAAAAAAAAAAAAAGGTTCTTGAGTGCAAGAATCATTTGATTTGTCTTTGTAGTGCCAGTGCTTAAAGACACTTAATAATTTATTAAGAGAATGAGTGAATAAATTCAGGAATAGTTAAAAAAAAAAAAACAGGTTATAGTACTTGCTTAACTCCCTCTAGCTTTAGAACTTCCTTCTCATGAGGACTTGAGCACATAACTGCTTGAGTTAGAATCAGCTCACTCTAGTCCTGACTCTCTTTCTCGCTTCTTCTTGCAGATGATTCCTACTTGTTTTTCTTCTGTATTGCTGCTCCTGAGAGCCTGGGGGAAATATCAATTGTTGGATTGTCTCTGTGTGACATTCCTAGAGTCACTTAGGAAATCATCTTAGAATAAAGCTAGTTTAGGTGGTGTCGTTTTGGGGGGTTTTTTGGGGGGTTTTTTTGTGAGAGAGAGAGAGAGAGAGAGAGCACAAGAGGGGGGAGCGGGAGAGGGAGAAGCAGACTCCCTGCCGAGCAGGGAGCCCGATGCGGGACTCGATCCCGGGACTCCAGGATCATGCCCTGAGCCGAAGGCAGTCGCTTAACCAACTGAGCCCCCCAGGCGCCCCTAGGTGGTGTCGTTTTTGTTGGTTGGTTTTTGTTGTTGTTCTAGCCTGGCTCTGAATTTTAACCTTTTTGAGCCTGGTTTTTCTTTCTATAAGTAAAATCAAGTTTTTCTTATTATCCACTATTCAGAGAATTTCTCTTGGTAACCATTTGCTCTTGGGAGGTATGGAGCTTTCAAATAAAGGTACTGAGAACTAAGAGTATGAGAGAAGTACATCTACAACAGGCAGCCATCAATGTTGCCCTATTTTCTGGAACTCAAACTGGAAAAGCTAAAGTATTACATTTGAAATATACCTGGGCTCAGGCTGGGGCTCTTTGCACACTGAGGTGTTTATTTTAAGTATATCTTGCTTGTAATGGCCTCATACATTTTGAGAGCTTCATTTGGAATTTGATACTATTAGATCTTTAAGGCAGTCTCCCTGCTTATTTATCAACAGTTATTCCATGGTTAGGGTGAAACTTCCTGACCTTGTGTCATTTTCCCAGGGCGTGACACTAACAGACCTTCAGGAAGCAGAAAGGACTTTCAGCCGGTCAAGAGCAGAACGGCAAGCTCAGGAGCAGCCTAGCCAGAAGTCCGCAGGCACTGAAGGGCTTGAAGGAAGCTCGGAGAAGCATGAGCCCTCAGCGGTCCCAGCAAAGGAAGCTGGCGAGGGCCGTCAACCCTGGGGTGGGAGTCTGGATGAAGAAGTAAGTCACTGACATGTACTGTGCTAAAAGCAGGTCATTAATGTGGGGAATCCCTCCTCACTGATAACTCAAGCACAGTGCTACTTTGCAGTAGACAACTCATAGAAAACACTGGTAACGTCCGTCTGTCATTGGCAAACCTGTATGACTGAAAGAACTCAGAGGATGTCCGTCCTTCAGTCATCATTTTGTGCTCGGATTTAACTAATGCTTATTTTTTTATCCAGTTTTATTGAGATGTTGAGATATAACATTGAATTGACATACAACATTTTATTAACTTTAGACTGTACAATATGGTGATTTGATATATGTATATATTGTGAAATGATTACCACAATAAGTTCCATTAACTAAATTTATTCTTTAACTAAAGATGTTTTTCTATTCTAAAGAGAGAGGTTATAGTATAGTAAAAATACAAATAGAAATGTGAGGATTTATTGAGTGTCTACTTTATACCAGGCATTATTTCAACTATTTCGTATGTATTAATTCATTTAATCCTCTGAGGTAGATATTATTTGTATTGTAAATGTAAGGAAATCAGGTCACAAAGAGATTAAGTAGCTTGCCCAGCATTTCACACAGATGAGAAGTGGTTAAGCAAGAACTTGACATGGGCAGCCAAGCTCCACAGAGCACTCTCTCAACCATGATTATATTGTTCTCTAAACCCCTGCAAACCTAGGAGTTTACAGAGCACCCCTTAATCACATGCCACAAGATGTCATAATTGAGGTGGACATTTTTAACTTATGTTTCCTTTCTCAAGTGGAGTTGGTAGTAAAGGCATAGGATTCTATTTAGGGTGAACATAACTCCTAGTTTAAATTAGGAGTTCAAATTACACCTGTTATCTTAGTGTAATTATTGATACCATTCATCTTCACTCTCAGAAGTGTCTCAATTGGGATGATAAATTTTCCCATCACCTAGTTAGAGGAGAAAGGAATCTCCTTGCTCCAACTCTGGCTAGGTTACATAAACTAACTGAAGTTCTTTTGTTTCTTTTGTTCTATCAGCTACTGTTTATTGATTATTTACTACTAGCTACTGTTCCAAGCATCTACCATATATTCTCTTGTATAAACCTCACAACCCTCTCTGAGGAAGCTGTTATCCCTACTTTACATAGGAGAAAGCAGAGGCTCAGAGAAGTTAAGTAACTTATTGAAGGCCACACAGCTAGTAAGTGCTGAAGCTAGAATTTGAACCAAGTTCTGTCTGATTCCAAAGCTTACTATATTTTATTGTCACTGTCTTTATAAACAAAAAAGTATACAATCTCTACATGTATTAAGAATTTATCTGTGCATCTTCAAAAACCCAAGTTAAGGCTTATTGTCAGTCTCTTTCTCCTTGGGGAAAAATTTCAAAGTGGAAAATGGGAAGTTTTTTTAAGTTTCAGTAAGCCTGGTTATGGCAGGTTGGTAGAATATTCAGAAATTGGTTGATTGCTCAGATTTGGCCTCTGTTCTCAGATAACTCTGTATTGTTTCTTCATATTCCCAAGCTTTTTATTTTTCTATGTAAATCTTGCCTTTCAGTGTTCCATCTTAAAAAGGCCATCACCCTTCTTATTTTCATTCCAAAATCAAAGGAATTTTTATTAACAAGGTTAGTGCTACCTAGTGCCCTTTGGTCAATTTAGGAAAAATTTTCCTGGGCTGCTGTCAACCTGATGGTATTATCAGAATAGGAATCCAGAAGCTGTTTCCTTTCTGGCTAATTAACTAACTAACTTTAGTTCAGCTCAGTAGCTATTTATTGAGCATCAACTATTAATAAGCCTCTTGGTATAGGAAAAGCCCATTTTTAATAAGCCTGCTATCCTTATCCTTTGGTTGGACTTGACCTCTAACATCTCACCCTATGGATTATTTCCAGCCTGTCTGTCGTCGCCTGAGGTATCCGGTTCAGCCAGACAAACCCACAACGCCAGTGTCTCCTTCTGCATCAAGATCCTCTCTCTACACCAGCTCCCATCTGCTACGGACAAGCAGATCTTCAGTCCCTGACTCTGAGAGTCCAGAGACCACCACAAACGCCGCAGTTGCAAAGGAAATGGACAAGAATGGTATGTAGAGCTTCAGAATAGGTGGCGTCCCCCCGTCGTGTACATGCCCCCATTTCCTAAGATCACACTTTGTTTTCTCTCTGGCCAGAGAGTGAAGAAGCAGATGTGGATGATCAGTCCTCTACTAGACTGTCCATCCGTGAGAGGAGGCGGCCCAAGGAACGACGACGAGGCACGGGCATCAATTTCTGGACAAAGGATGTAAGTGGATTGGTCCGTGCTGGGACATATCACATCACCCACGGCTGCCGTCCTTTCTGCTGAGTTCAGAAAAAAGAAAGGGTCCCACCTGGTCTGCTGAATCTTGCAGATTATCAAGAAATATTACTGAGGAAAGAGAAGACGACCTACCTAGTGTGGGACTCCTTTGGTATATCCTTGGCCAGACGCCCAGTACCTAGAACAGTGCCAGGCATGTAGTAGGCACTCAATTCTCCCTAATATTCCCAGAAAGTCATGTAGTTAGTCAATAGTATTATCACATATAAGCAGAGATTCTAACGAAATATTTTAGGAGTGTTACAAGAATTTCAAGGAACCTAAAATCTTAGTGATATAAGTTCATCTGACTCAACTTTACTCTTAGAGGAAGAAAGAAAAAAAAAAAACAGATTAACTTTGGCTTTAAGATAAAGACAGGTGCACTAGGGCTTACTAAGTGCAAGCACACATTCAGTACTTTAATTCACCCTCCGGTTCTATACCGCTGTCACTCAACTTTTGTCGTTGGCATTTTATTTTATTTTATTTTATTTTATTTTTAAATGTCGTTGGCATTTTAAAAATCAAGTGACCAAGAATCAAGAGGTCCCTGGTTACCAGTGACTCATCTGCAAGCTGGATGAACCATTCAGTGAGACAAGGAATGAAACAGTAATAGTCATCTATTAGAAACTATTCTTTAAGATAAAAGTATCTCATTTTTATAGGACCAAATAGACTACTGACAGACAATAACTGTTGACAGAGGTGGAATAAAGTCTGTCCTTTCTAAAGATACCCCTTTTCCTGCTATGGTTTATTTGACGTTTTTGATGACAGGCAGTGTTTCTGAGCCGTCTGCCTATGGCGGCTGTTAAAAGGCAGTAACAGAGCATCACTTGGCAGTCAGTTCTCACTGCCTATGTTTGAAATGCCAAGATGCATAATTGATGGGAGCTGACCTTGTTGCTTTCAAGGATGTCTGTGACTATGGTCCTCTTGTTTTTCTTCTTTTCAGGAAGATGAAACTGACGTCTCTGAAGAGGTAAAAGCAGCACTGGTAAGTAAGTGGCAAGCCAGTGAGGTATGTCCCTCTTGGTTCAGCCTTTCTCGTGTGCATACAATTTCAATAGAAAAGAGCAGGCCCTATGTAGATTTGAGTTGAGGGAGAGTTTGGAGATAGACATTGCTCTGAGAGATGTGGCAGGTGTTAGTTGGTGGTACATTGTCTTCAGATGCTCTTGAGCAAGTTTCCTGCACTTCTCTATGCCTTCTGCTGATCCCTAACACAGTTCTAGGATCTGTCTATCTGCTTTTTCTCTCTTGTGAGTACGTTATTGGATTGTAGAAAGTACTTTGAAATCTTTGGAAGAAAAGTGAAGAGTGATACTATTTCTTTTATGGGTCTATACTTATATAGAGAAAGGAACATAAATGTGAAGAATGTAAACATCACACAATCCAAAAGTCACATATTTGACTTTGAAATAAGGTTAAACCCTTGACTCTTACACAACTCAGGCCTGGCATCAACTTTTCTCTGCAGTGGATGACCTGGGCCCAGCTTTCCTGACACTCCAGGTTCCTGAAAGCCACTCAAACATGACAGAAAGTTAGTGGTTTCCTTATCAGTACTATTTTTCAGGAAGGAAGGAATTTGGTTTTGACTACATGAATTGAGACTACATGTACATCTCTACTGGAAATTATGTACAAAAGATGGACTTTTTGTATCCTGCAGTTAGTTGAAAGTAGGTTTTCAGAATATATTTGAGAGGCGCCTGGGTGGCTCCGTTGGTTAAGCCTCCGACTCTTTTTTTGTTTTTAAGAGGTAGGGGCAGGGCAGAACACAAGGGAGAGAGAATCTTAACTGGGCTTCACACCCAGCGTGGTGCCTACTTAAAAAAAAAGAGTGTATTTGATAAACCATACTGAAAATCAACAACTAACTTGTTCTTAGCAGAGGAAATAGAAATACTCTATTATGTCATTGACCTGCCTGTATTTTAGTCAAGATCCAAAGCAATCAGTAGGGCCTTCCAAAAAGCAATGCCAAGATGACTAGTGGTGACATAGGTGAGAACTGCCTACCGTTGGTTGAAGCTAGGTGACTTCACAAAGATGAGCCATGTCAAGTGGAAATACCACAAAGAGGTTCATGCATGTGCATAAATAACAGCAACTCTTCCGTTCTTCAGTGGGCTGGGAAAGGCTTTTGGAGACGAAGAGTGAATGTAGGAAGGTTGCTTTGGGGAATTATAAGATATCTAAAGAAAGAATCTGAATAATAGATACAGAGCACTGAAATGGACTACAATCCCTAGAGAGTTATAGAGGCCATTGAATCTGTAAAGGGAATGACAACAAGGATGGCTTTGTCGTGACAGAATGTCTTTTGTCGGTGAAAATCTGTGTCTCCACCTTTCCAAACCACTTGCCATGGGAAAATCCTAACATAGGGCACCAGGTAAGGAAAGCTAAGATGTTCCTGATGCAGTGCGTCCCAGAGGATTTCATCTTAGGACTTGAATGAAATGGAATGAAAATTACAGAAAAGATTTTCTGATTCTTTTCTGGTGAGGAAGAGCAGAGATTCAATAGGTTTGACGAGAAAGTCATTTGTCAGACTGAAAAACATTTCACTCATCCAACTGCTTGAGGCATCTGTTAGTGTCTACCATGTGTCAAGCAGACTCCAACGTGAATCTTAATAGAAGAATGAACAGTCTGTTATCTCTAGAAGGTAGTTTAACTGAAGAGAGAAAACAAAAAGCCAAAAACACTTACCTGTTTTTCTCCCAAGTACTGTCTTTCTAACACTAGCAGGCATGATGCCGTTATCATCATATGGACCTGCAGAGCAACATGCCTGGCCATGTAAGCTGCAGTTCTACTTCAAGACAGTCAGTAATCTCTTAGGACCAGTCTTTCTCCCCCACCTCCATGTCCTTCCATCAGGCGGCAGAATCGGGCCAGCCAGAGGAGGGGGCATTCCGTTGAATTGGCATTGTTAGCTAATGAGCATGGATACTGCTGAGAAGCCAGGGCAGTTTTCTTTTCTTGGTTTTTGGTTCAGTAAGACTATATATGCTATTGAGGTCATGACAGTTCCCTTCTCTTTCTGAGCCTGTTCTTAAAGAGTAGTGGTGGTATTTTTAAAGTTAACTCTTCCCAAGACTCTGGCATATATATTTTTTTGAGATAAAATTTACAATCAACAAACTGCACGGATCTTAAGTATATTATCTGATGAGTTTTGACAACTGTATACACCAGTGTAAACACCACTCAAAATACAAAATTTTTCCATCACCTTGAAAAGTTCCCTCATGCCCCCTTCCCTGTCCCAAGAGACAACCACTCTTCTGATTTCTGTCACTATGGATTAATATTGCCTGTTCTTGAACTTCATATATATGAAGCATACAGTCATAATTCATTTTAAGAGCAGAAAGGAAACTTCAGTGGTTATTATTCCTATCTTATGTCCCAGTTAAGGTTAGAATTAAAATGACTCCAAATAAGTACAGATTTTGTTTCCTCCTCTTAAAAGATTTCAAAAGAAGATTCTTTAACCTCTTGCCCTTATATCAGTAACAACAGCATGGTTAAGAAGACCTCTCTATTGTTTAACTTAAATCTCTGTTTGGTATCACTGAAATCCATTTCTTCTTTTTGTGCACCTGTGTTAGAAAAATGTTATCAGCATTTATATACAGATATGATTTATTGCCAGGAAAGGCCCTGATGTTTGTTTTCAATTATGTGATAGGAGAAAGACCAGTTGTGCATTTCTCTGGTGGTGACACCAAGGAATGATACTTAGAAGGCTGGGGACTTTGCTTAAGCCCAACATACTACATGATTTTAGTCAGAACCCATTCCCATTGGTAAATCCAAGAACAGGTGAGACTGGCAATGAATATATAATTTGTTGTCTTAGCACCTTGACAGGTGCATTCAAAGCACATCTGTTAATTATCCACATTAGGTATGTAATAGATATTTTCCAGAAGTCTTAATATATCTTTTATCTTGCTAAGTGAAAAAGAAACTGTATCTAGATCTTAATATGAGAAAGAAAAGTTCCAGTCATACCCGAAAAAACTTTTATATTCAGGAGCATGTTTGTTTTCTTTACTAGTTAGTGGTAATTACTAGAGGTAATTTCTTTACAGTGTTCTGGAAGGCGCAGTCATAGGCACACTGCAGAAAGTGATGGCCATTTGGTTTCTTTCCATCTTTTTTTTACCTACATCTTTGGCCTGCCTCTTTTGCTTTACATTGATTTTATCTACTGCGTTTTTGCTGTTTGCCCCATTTACTCCTCTGGAACAGACTGTTTCCCTAGCCAATTCTGTTGTATAATTAAGTTTATCACTAGAGGGCATGAGTGGTCAACAGAAAAGTTGCTGGTAGTGCCCTAAAGAATTTGAACAGAAGACAGATTCTTTAGTTTTAAAGGAATTGTTAAAGAACCCAGTTAAGTGTAATGAAGTTACTTGCCTCCCAACTTTTGGGAAGTTAGAGATAACTTGGGTTAGGGACTTCAATTTACAGTTAAGAAAACTGAGGCCCAAAGAAGTTAAGAAGTATTCAGGGATATGAAAGCTCTGCTAGTTGATCAATCTGTGTCCGCATTGGGGAACCTTTTTATTTGACTTTAGTGAAACAGACCTGAAATCAGGGCTTATATCCTCTGCATTCCCTATTTACCCATTTGGTTTTTTACTCAACAGATTTTATGTTCAAATTGACTTGCTAGTAGCATCTCAGTTCCTTAAGTCAAGGAATGTCTTCTCGAAGGACAACTGAAAAGCCTAGTCTGAGTATCAAGATTCAGTCAGTGGGTAGAATATCAGCATTCTTCTGTTGTCCTTGACATAGGTACGTACTTATGTCTTTCAGGAAGTAAGAATTTCCATACAAAATGCTTCCCTCCCATCCCCACCCTCCCTCCATCCCTGTTGCTTTTAGGCAAATCGGGTAGCACTTAGTCTGAACAAAATCACTGAAACCGCACTCTCAAACTTAGCAATGCCATTTTCCCAGTCCAGAATGGAACCAGTAGATCTGGATTGCTAATCACCCCTCAAAATGCATTGGTAAAGGAGATATTGTGAAGGAATTACTAATTCACGGGCATCAAGGTATCTGTCTGAGGTAAATGAAGGCCTGCTAGTGGAGAGATGGGTTGGTAAGGTGCTCCAAAAGAAGTCGGCCATGAAACGTAATATTTTCAAATTACATAAAAGAGAAGCATGCAGAGAATTGCTGGCAAAGTTTGGTTTTGAACTAAGCTTCAATAGAAAATAAAACTTGCCCTGGGAGCCACTTGGCCCCAGAAATGTCTCTACTACCTAAAGTCACTAAACGCATTTCCCATGTTGTCCTGCCTTCTCCTTTATAACCTTCTCATTTATTCACTGAACAACTACTTTTAAGTAACCTACTATAATCAGGCAAGTTTTTAGGTACTGGAGATGCAACAATGAATAAAAAGCCCTGCTTTTATGGAATTTATATTCTAGTGGAGGAGATGGACAATAAATAAAATAAATGTGTGAAGGAAATAGTTTGTGAAAAGGTGATAAGTGTTTTTGGAAAACCCATGTAGAGTGGGATAGGAAGGAATCAGAAATGCCTGAGTGGGATAGGAAGTTGACATTAGAATTATAAGTAGGGTGGTCAGGATAGACCTTGCAGAGAAAGCATCATCTGAGCCTAGACTTAAAGGAAGTAAGATGGGGAGCTATGTGGACATATGGGAGTACAGAGTTTAGGCAGGGGGAACAGCACCTGCAAAGATTCTGAGGCAGAAATGTGCCAGACGTGCTTGAGGACAGGTGAAAAGACCAGTGTGATAGAGCCGAATGAGCAAAAGGCCCCAATGGCATGGACTGATAAGTCATCTTAAGGGCTCTGGCTTTTGATCTGAATGAGCAGGTAGCCATTGTAGAGGTTTGAGCAGAAGAGTGACATGATTATACTTATATTTTAAGGAATTACTCTGCCTGCTATTTTGAGGATATACTCTAACGGGATTTGGGTGGAAGCAGGGACGTCAGTTAGGAGGCTGCTTAT